GCCTGCTGCGTTGGCTAGTTTCCTGCCTGGCACCATTTCCCTACTCGCCAAAGTCACATCATCACCTAACCGTTACAAGAGCACTGTTCTTGCCAAATGTCTCGAAACAGTGAGTCTGGTACTGACAAGTGTATTGGCCGATCTACGGACGCGGTCTATCTCGACAAAAACCGGAACTGATCAAGATGGGGCCGAGGATAACAAACTTCTATCTCCGGCTTGGCTCAAGGCAAGCATTACGCAAGTCAAGAAAGCCCTCTCATCTATTATGAAACTGCGTTCTCACGAATCTGCTGAGGTGAGGAATACCCTCAGCAAGCTTTGTGTGACCATTCTGGATGAATGCCATAACACGTTGTTCAACTGTGCAAACATACTTGTTGAGACAGCCATGATACTTGGGGAGACCGAGAATAAGATGTCCTTGACACAGACTAGTTTACAAGATCTTGTCAACATCTATCCTGAACTCGGTGAAATCGTGAAAACGGCGACATATAACTGGATGTCTAGTCTTTCACGGCTGATGCAATCAGCGGATGAAGATGTGAAGCGAGACGCAATACGAAATGTCTTGAAGGGTCTTGAGCTCATCAAAGACTTACAGATACAATCATCGACGCTGGACGAATCTATGTCTATTATGCTCCGAGATAGTGTTATATCTCTAATGCAAGCATCAAGAACCTCGGAAACTAACGAGAACATGGATGTTCGACTGATAGACAGTGGAGAAGCATCGGCAGAGCAAAACGATGTCCAATACCAGCCCGTCTTGCTGCCCTCCGAATCGCAAAAGAATATCCGCCATGAGATGGCATCACTCATTGACTTTCTTGGGTCATCGTCTCAGCAAGCAAGATTTGCTGGTGCTATGTTGGAGCAAGTCCAGGACTCTGATAATTCAGGCAGCCAAGTCGCTACTTTTTGGCTTTGCTTTGAACTTATCAAAGCGAGCCATAGATCATCTGCTGAAGCAGAGATGTTCTTGAACTTGTCATCAGTAACCGATCCTTCCCAGGATATCGACACCATATTCAGTGAGCTTTACACAACATCGGTGCAGATTCTCGACCGACACACAGATGTGGAATCTGTCGACTGGCGACTAGAAGCTCTAGCCCTAGAAGCAACTGCCTACACAGCACAGCGATCCGGAGAGTCATTTCGCCCTGAACTGATTGATGTTTTGTTTCCCATCGCAACGTTCTTAGGCTCCAACAACCCCAATTTGCAAAAGCATGCTATTGTCACATTGAACAGTATAGCAGCCTCATGCGGATATGCCAACGTTTCGGAGCTTATCATCCAAAATGTGGACTACATGGTGAACTCGGTTTCGTTGAGGCTGAACAGCCTGGACATATCGCCTGCCTCGATCAACGTTTTGACCATGATGGTCCGACTTGCAGGCCCCCGACTGGTTCCCTACCTAGACGATGTTATTGACTCTATCTTCGGGGCTTTAGATAACTTCCACGGATATCCAGTATTTGTCGATAATCTGTTTGTCGTGCTCAAGGAGGTTGTGAATCAGGGCGTTCGTTCGGATATGTTGTTGCTGGAACATCAGGCGAGTTCAAAACCAAACCATCGAAAAGTCCACAAGAAAGAACCCGGGCTCTCCGAGCTCTTGGATACTTTGGAAAAACGAAGGCAGCGGGCAGCACTCGATGAGACGGAAACAGAAGAAGTGAAAGGCCACCCAAAGATTCTGTGGAAGGAAGAAAAGAACGAGAATGATAGCAACGAGGCAGCTGATCCTCCACCAGAACCAGAAAAACCACCAAACTCACCAACCTACCAGCTCCTTCTGAGAGTGGCAAACCTCACGCAACATTACCTCACCTCCCCGACACCAACACTACGAAGATCCTTGCTTGAGCTACTGACAACAGCATCCACTGCGTTGGCTCCCGATGAAGATGCCTTTTTGCCCCTTGTTAACGCGATCTGGCCAGTAGTGATCGACAGGCTGCATGACCCAGAAGCTTATATCGTGGTCGAGGCATGCCGCGCGCTTGCTGGGCTCTGCGTTGCTGCGGGGGACTTCCTTAGCTCTCGGTTCAAGACTGACTGGGCTGAATGGCTTCGAGATTGGTGCCGAAAGGTTAAGCAGCAAGCTTCCGCTTCACCGAGCTGGGTCAGACCCCATGGGGAAGCTGGCACTACGTGGGGGAAGGAAAGCGACGATAGCCGAGTGTTGATACCCCTGAGACATGGTGATAGTCTAAGCGGGAAGCCTTTAACGCAAATAGTCGCACCATCTTCAGGTAGCTTAGGAAAATTTGCGTCACCAGTGAGAGTGTGGGAGGGTACGGTTGAGCTACTGACAGCTCTTGTATCTCATGTTCAGGTTGACGAAGAAATGTTTGATGACATTCTTGACCTGCTGTCGGACGTTTTGGAAAGAAACGTTGTAGTGCGGGAGGCATTGGAGGCTGTTAACGAGGACGCGGTGTGGCTTTCGCGGTATGAGAGAGGGAATGTTGAATGGCTCCCAACACCGAAAATGGACGGAGTGGAGTTCACTCCCATGGCAATCTCGAGGTAATGCATTACGAGATAGACAGAACAAACCAACCAATATCGACTTCTCAATCATACCATAGTGGGCATTGAAATGGCCAGAGCCGGCACAAGAACTCAGCTAGTGGTACGACTCGTTTCCCGGGGTTAGCATGGATGCTAGGAGCGCCACCGGGCAAACCGTTCCTTGACGATGATTGAAGGCAGCAATTGCCATTTGAGGACAACAAATGTTATGTGATGGCTTCACGTGGAATTTCCACACGAGGGGAGCCTGTGATACTCAAAGCTTACCCCTGCCAAACATGCTGTGGGGAAGTGAGAGGTCTAGATTCTGCTGACGGTTCCGCAGTGGAAACGTTGAGCATTTTCTCCGCATCTTATGTGTCAACACCTTCTTGAACAAGTTAGGTCTGAGAGGCTAATAATTGGAGTCGTTAGTGTTATGGATCTCCCCGAGCGAACCAGGGAGACTGAGATTACCCTCGAACCTCGCTCGACTCTACCCCAGAAACAGGATCAAGATGCTGCGGAAACGATTTCGTAATGGAATCAACATGTTGAGTGTCTAGACTCGAGAGCCTGGAGAATCCCCAGATTATGAGTCTGGATCTGGGGAGGCCTCGTGGCGGCCATTGCATCGTATCCATTTTCCCCAGAAAGCCAAGAAGACATAACGTAACGAGACTCTTGAGCAAGTTGAGCCTCATTGCTAGTTTGTCTTGAAATGGCCTTTTTTTCATGAGGGGAAATTCCAGCGTGAGGAGATTTTTCAAGCCACGATTGATATGGGCGGTCCAATCAAGGAGATACCGATGGTATGAGGGAGAAAAACTCGACAAGACCAGCTAAGAGATAGCGTTTTCCCTGGCTGGCGGTCAGCAGCTGAGAGCCAGCGGGAGAGGGGAAGGAGTCTCCAAATTGCTAGTTGGTCTTAGGGCTGTTGGGACATGGGTACAGTTCCAGATTCACTGATACCACCGAAGCTGGGGCGTTTCATGGCCAATCAGGGATATGTCAACTGCAAGAGGAGGGTAGTCTGGAAGTCTTCTAGCTTGAGGACTAGCTCGAGCTTTGCCACCCTCTTCTGACGAGACATGACCGCGCGACGGTGCCCTGGAGCATGTGGGGGAGAACCAAAGCAAGCCAAGGCCATCTCCAAGTTTTGCTTTGCTTTGCTCTCTGCTGCTGAAGACTCCAATGTGCTTGGCGATCTATTGGCATCGCATCGCCAAGTTTTGCAGCAGACCAGCCCAAGTCTTGTCTGCAGATCCTAAGGTCTGGGCAGCACTGGGCCCGACCCGATCATTTGGTTCACAATGACAACATGTGTCTTGTAATACGACATAAGCCATCAGTTGATTACTACCACCAGGGGACTTCCGAAGAAGGACAAGGGCCATTGGTGATGATGTCGACCTTCCGAAAGAAGCTGAAAGTGCTTACGGGGCCACTGAACAAGCGTTACGGACGGGGCGTTGAAATGGTCATTGACTCCGCGTTAGGAGCGCGTTTAATGGTAGTCGACTGCCCATGAAAGTCAACGGAAAACTGCCGAGAGGTTGACTCGTAATAGGGCGTCGGCAAGGATGCATATATATGATGTAACATGACCCAATGTGAGTTAATTCCAAAGGATTGCAGCATGACAAGGATCTGACACATCTTGGGTAGTATTGGTGAATAACCTTATCCTGAGGGAGGGAAACGTAAGAAACAACTCAAATTGGTTGATTGCTGACCATGCTGACTCGTCTATCAGATAGGCTATCTAGATTAACGTCAAACGACAGGCGAGTTAAGCGCCGTATCAACCGTTGTCATGTCTTTACCAGCACGAGCCAAGCATAACCGGCCCGGTCAAGGTCGACACGATTCTCGGCTACGGGGCTCTCTCGCGCTCGCCGAGAGAAAGACAAGCAGAACCAAGACGGCAACGAGATAGGGGGGGGCAGGCCACTACTGCAGTGTGACCTTTAGGCTGCTGTGCTCCAAGCTCCAAGGTGGACATGAAAATCCTGTACCCACCATGATACTGTAGCTTGGAGTTGAAGAGCCAATGGCTTCACGAGCCTAACGATTAGCCTCAAAGATAAACTCTTTGGGGCAAAACAAGAAAGGCTAGACTGCCCGTTCTGCACACCATTTCCTCCAAGTTCAACCAACACGCTAACATTAAAACTAACATTAGACTACCCCCCTTGACCCATCCTTGCCATCTCCAACTCCACCTCGCATCTGGCAGACCCCCAGCGCCACCAAATCTAGAACGGTATGGAGAGCAGTTCCATATTCTCGGTATATTGTGCAACATCGTCGATGAAAATGAGTACAAATACCGAGGCCCTCTCCCTCATTTTGGGAATAGAAGAACCAAGAGCATCACTCTCAACACTCACTCCTCTTTCTCTCACTCTCACTCTCTCATACACTTCTCTCTCCTCCCACCACCACCACTACAGCTAGTAGCCATGGCTTCTACTCCTCCCACCGATTACGGCAAGGAGGCCGTTCTCGATGTCTCCGAGACACGAGATGTCGAGACTGGTGAGGTCAAAAACGGCGGTCTCAAGCAAGATCTCAAGAACCGACACATGCAAATGATTGCCATCGGTATGACTTCACTTCTCAACTGTTCCTCAAACTCATAACTAACATGTCTAGGTGGTGCTATCGGTGCTGGTCTCTTCGTCGGTTCAGGTGGTGCCCTCCAGAAGGGTGGCCCTGCTGCTCTCCTCATCGGCTATCTCATCATCGGTATCATGCTTCTCTGCACATGCTTGGCCCTCGCTGAGATGGCTGTCCTCTACCCCGTCAACGGTGCCTTCTTCACATACATCGTCCGCTTCGTCGATCCTTCATGGGGTTTCGCCATGGGTTGGCAATACGCTCTTGCTTGGTTGACTGTCCTGCCTTTCGAACTCATCGCCGCTTCTATCACCATCAGATTCTGGAGAGAAGATATCAACATGGCTGTCTGGGTCTCTGTCTTCCTTGTTGTCCTCATGGGCATTCAGATCTTCGGTGTTCGAGGTTACGGTGAAGTTGAGTTTGTTCTCTCCATCATCAAGATCTGTGCCTGTGTTGGTTTCATCATCCTCGGTATTGTCATCAACTGCGGTGGCGTTGGCGACCAGGGCTACATCGGTGTCAAGTACTGGCGCGATCCTGGTGCTTTCACCAGCTTCAAGGGTTTCTGCGCTGTCTTCGTCGTCGCTGCTTTCTCCTTCGGTGGTACTGAGATGGTCGGTCTGGCTGCTGCTGAGTCTGCCAACCCCCGCAAGTCTATCCCCATGGCTAGCAAGCAGGTCTTCTGGCGAATTGCCATCTTCTACATTCTTAACCTGTTCATCGTCGGTCTCATCCTCCCCGCCAACGACCCTCGCCTGATGGGTGCCAGCGGTGCCAACACCAAGGCCTCTCCCTTCGTCCTCGCTATCCAGGATGCCGGTATCAAGGTCCTCCCTAGCATCATGAACGCTGTCATCACTGTTGCTGTTCTCTCCGTTGCCAACTCCTGCACTTTCGGTTCTACCCGAACCATCCAGGCTATGGCTGAGCGCAACATGGCTCCTAACTTCTTCAAGTACATCGACTCCAAGGGCCGCCCTCTCTACTGTGTTATCCTCCAGATCGCCTTCGGTCTCCTTGCCTACATTGGCGCTGCTCCTCAGGGTATGGAGATTTTCGGCTGGCTCCTGGCCCTTACTGGTCTTGGCTTCCTCTTCGTCTGGGGCTCTATCTGCCTCGCTCACATCCGCATGCGTGCCGGCATGAAGGCTCAGGGCGTCAACCTCGGTCTCATTCCCTACAAGACCCCCTTCGGCGTTGCTGGATCTTACCTCGGTCTCGGTCTCAACATCCTCGCCCTCATCGCCTCTTTCTACACTGCTCTCTACCCTGCCTCCGGCGCCTCTCCCAACGCTGAGGCCTTCTTCAGCTCTTACCTCGCCTTCTTCTCTGTTGCCCTTCTCTACCTCGGCTACAAGATCTGCACACGCAAGTGGCAGATGTTTGTCCGTCCCTCTGAGATGGATCTGGCCAGCGGCGCTGTCTGGTTGGAGGAGGAGGAGCCCAAGGAGCCCTTCGTCTGGGCTGACGCCCCCAAGAGGGTTCTCCGAAGCTTTTTCTAAGCATGTACGAAGGATGGAGTTGATATGATTACGGATACCCACACTACTGGATGAGTGAAAGAATTGTACATATATATGACCATGTAATATTTTGAGTTTTATACCAACAAGAAAAGCAAGGCGGTTAGCGTTCTTGAGCATTATCGGCACATACAATACGCATGCAATCTCTTCAAACATTTGATCACAGTTGCAGTGACGCACACAAAAGCTAAAGTGATCTACATTCCTTACTTGCTCGGTGATTCAACAAAGCTCTATGGTTCCTGCAAAGGGGGGTTTAAGTAAAGCAGTGACATAAGTTTCCTCCTCAACCATACAGACAAGACAAGACTTGTTCTCCAAACCAGACTTCGATTGTGTCCTAGACTGTCCGAGCAATAAACACGGCAACATTAACTCTTGGCCAAAATTGTTCTCGCTCGACACATCAACAAGATGACTAGGTACTCTGCCATATCTCCTTATTGGGACACATTGACGTCTCGCCGTTGCATTGACTGAACTAGTCTCTTAAACACTGCCCCGTACCCATTTGTATTCAGGTCGGAGTTTTGTAGATTTACTCCTACAGGTTGCCCAAGTTAGTGCCTCTGGGAAATTGATAGTCAAGTTCAATGAGCTTGAACTTACAAATTCCAAAGTAAAACTCAACCCCAAGAATGCCATGCATAAATATCAAACTTATTCCTCATGGTTTTTGGCTGAGATCACGATGCTGATGTCTCGCGGAAGGTTCTCCTTCAGGATCAGCGCATCAGCTGCGTCGAGGATCGAGCAGAGCTTTGAACGTAGAAGTCGGTCCTGCGATGCTGACCCACGCTCGAGTCTTCCGATTGCTTCGGCCACATTTGTCATGATTTCGTTGCGGTATGGCAGATCGTCGTTGATGTTCAGCCGCTTCTGGTGACGATCTTTGGCTCGGACAAGATCAAGGTCGAGGGAAGACATGACAGCAATGTCCATCCTGGAAGCCATGTCAAGAAAAGCACCGTACAAAGAGTGCGTTCGAGGAACGACATAAGCAATATTATTGACGAGACGCTGAAGAGCGCCAACAATAATGTTCTTGGTACCGTCGGCTTCCTGGTTGAGAAGACATTCGTTCCAAGGAGGTCCAAAAACTTGCTGGAACGACTGGCAACCGGGCTTCTCCAGGAGAGTCGTTCGAAGTTCCATCAGACTGGGGGTTGCTTCCTGAAGATAGTTCTGCAGAGAGTTTTGTATCTCACGGGCCTTGTCTGACAGTTGAACCATCTTCTTTACAGCTGCAGTTGATTCTGAATCATTGACCTGTTGAGCCAGTTGAATGTAGTCGATTTCATCGGACACCAGGGATGCAAGAGTGGCACCGGTCTTGCCCATGAATTTGTAAACTGATAAGTCCGTGTCTGCGTCCTTGATGATTGACAACCATGATTTCGCGACTTGGCTGCACTAGTACCATAGTCGGTTCTTCGCCTCCTCTGGAAGCACACGGATGATGGGCTCCGAGAGCCATGCCTTTACCTCTCGGATGAGAGCTGGATCGTTTTGCTTGTACTTTCGATTTCCGAGTTTCTCAAGGATTTCCTTGCCTTGGCTCAGTGCTTGACGGCGGTGGATGATCTGCGGCGCGTCGACAGTCCCCTTCTTCAGACAAGGGGCACCCGGCACTGACTTGATCCAGCCATTGAATCTCGCCATAGTAAGAAGCATCAGAGGGGTGATAGTGTCTCCAGGGATATTGGTTGTGACTGCAAACTTTCCGCGGGCGACCCTTCCAACTGTTGGAGACTTTGAACCTTCATCAGACTTCTTGATGAAGAACTGAGATTCACTAGTCTGAGGCCATACATCGATAGCAATACCAAGGTAAGCCCACACAGCAGTCTCGGAGACAGCGCTGACGATGTGTTTGGTGTTGCCGTTAGAGTTGATGACGACGTGCTTCAGGTTCAGAATGGCAGCAATAGCCACGGCGGTCGTTGCTGGGAGCATGTAAAAGTTGCCGCTCTTGGTGGTTCGGTTGGTATTGGAGAATTCTTTCAGGGGGCTTGCGATCAGCTCCTAAGAATCATCAGTCTGTTGTTCCTTGCAAGACCTATACAGGTTGACTTACCTGGCTCTGCCAGATAGCATAGTCAGTTGCCTCGACGACTTTGGTGTCCTCGATAGTCTTTAAGCAAGCCTTGAAGCATTCCATGTGATGATCGGGATCACGGCCAGCGAGTCGAAAACCCTCACGAGTCACTTGCTCATGAATTCGCTGCGCTGTCCGCGCACTTAGCGGCTGCTGGGCCGCGTCAGGCATATCTAGATCGTGGAGGGCGGGGGAGGTTAAGGAAGATATGAAGGGAAATAGGCAGAAGATATCTCCGATGACGGTCTAAGGTGACCAAGAATACTGAGAGGCAGGAAGAGATAGTCGAAGAAGATAGAGGGTGTTGAGGAGGGAGCGATGTTATGAAGAGGCGAAGCAATGCGCGTCAAGAAGATGGATGGATGTTGAGCGCGCAGGAAGAATGATGAAATGACCAGCTATCTCAAGAAGCCAAAGACTTATCTTGATAAGATAGAAAGCAAGTTCTGAGCAAGGATATGCTGTATTTCTTCTCCTTCTTCTTCTTCTGTGGTGAAGTGATAGGCAAGAGGGGGAGAAGGTATTGGATGAGAGCAGTGTGAAAGTAGGAGAAAGGTGAAGCTAGCAATGGAAGTTGAGGATGGAGTCTGCCGCTGTGCCAGAGCTAGACCAATTGTTCTCGGTCAGTGGCAGAACTCTTGACCAAACCATGGAAATGACCTGAACAGTTGACACTGGTAATTATTTTTCTTGATCCATCATGTGAACATGCAATACATCTCACTAAATGATAAGTCGCCATTCAAATCGAGCACTAGTTGTCACCATAATCAACGCTTCTATGCTTCGTCTCCCAAACACTTGGTAGATAGTCTATCAATGCCTCGTCACATCTTGGGGCCCACAGTCAAATATCCTTCAACAACAGCAGTAATCAACCGATTGGCAATAGCCTGAGGAGGAGGCAATCGCAAGTCTCCCTCCTTGTACCCCTCGGGAGCAGGCTCCCCAAGGCTGCTCGTTCCATTCTTAAGAGCCTGGCGGGCTTCGTCCATGGAGAACCACTTGGCCACCTCCAACTCCTTGTCGTTCAGAGAGATCTTCTCGCCATCACCAGGCAGAGCCTGAGCAATAGCTCCAATCATCAAGCTGGAAGGATAAGGCCACGGCTGACTCGAGTGGATGACAACGCGCCCAACACGAACACCGCTCTCCTCCCAAACCTCTCGCCGAACCGACTCCTCGATAGACTCACCAGGCTCGAGGAAACCAGCAAGCGTGCTGTACCAGTGAGGAGGCCAACGCTTCTGGCGGCCAAGAAGAATCTTCGTTCCATCTGCGGAAACAACAGCGGCAATCATCGTGGGATCCGTTCTAGGGAAACAGATGTTTGAGACGCCGTGACGGGTGGGACAATCACCTCGAGGTTCACTGGAAGCTCCGCCTTTCTTATCGGCGGGAGGGCAGACGCGCTTATAACCAGCGTGAACTGAGAGGTTGGGCAGCCCGCAACCGGCGCAGAAGGGACTTCGTGTATTCCAGTCGATGATAGACCTGGCTTGAGCGTAGAGAGCGGCTGCAAAGGTTAGTTGAAGATCGAACCGGTTTCAGGGACAACTCACCAGCCTCAGGCGACTGATTCATCGCTCGAGGGTTCTTATCCAAAGATAGTCCTTTCTTCTCCTGTTCCTCCAAGAACTGAGTGGCTTTCTCAGCGTGGTTTCCCTTGGGAGTGATGTCAATGGCGAAATAGGGGTGGCCTTGGACATCCCCGTGGTCGGAGGACGGGATTGAATCCTTCTCGTTACCCTCCTCTAGCATACCAACGAAAACAACCAGGGGTCTGGTCTCAGCAGAGTTGAAGCTCTGAATAGCTTCATCCTCAGTGAGAGCGAAATGGTCCGGTCCGATCAGAGGCTCGACATCCTTAAAGGTCAGATAAGCCGGGGTCTTTTTGTCAACAACCAGAGGGTTCAGGTCATGGAGTGCCAGATATCTAGCTGTAGGGCTGCTGAAGGCTTGTCGAAGGAAGCCAGTATCGGCACGCAGAAAAGAGTATCTGTTGATACGGCCACCGGCGTAGTAGTTGACAACCTCTTTTCCAAAACGGCGAGTCAACATTGAGTCGTCGGTTTGAAGAGCTGCAATCTCGGGCAGCCCTGGACCTGAAGTGGTTGTTGACATTGAGTGTTGTTGTGTTAAAGGTGATGGGATTTGATTTGTAATGCTCTTGATATGAGTGAGGTTGGTTGGAATGGTGGGGGTTCAGAAATAGTCGACACTTGCTTGATGCTAGGTAGATTAATGGCCAAGATTTCTTGTGTTGGATTTATGATACAACGTGAACTCTAGTGTTGATGTTGAGATTTGGTCATCAGTCACAAGGAGGAGGCTTTCTATGATCAACGTGAGGCAATGAGCGAGCAGTAACTAATAACCGGCTTCAAGTCCGAGGTCTCCGTTCTGTTTCCTGTTCATTCTGGGGCTAGCGGTGAGAAAGTCGCGGGCGATTTGCACAATATTGCGGCGAATGCGGCCATGTACCCAGCGGGATGGAGTTTGGATGAGTCAGAGCTCGTCTTGATTGGCCTGCAGAGAGAGGATCTCATTGAGATTCATTGGGTCCATGGATATCATATTTTTTGGTGTTTCGTTTGATACTTTATCAGATAGACGAAGCAACATCTGCGATCCACGATCTTGCATTCAGAACAGCCCCTGGCTATACCAAACCACTTCAATTGGTTGTATTTTCATGGCGTTTTCATAGTTCAACTGGCATTGGCCATTCGCGAATCCGAACCTGATCTACAGCTTAACTTTGTCCCTGTGCCGAGGTCGGACCCCGGAAGTATCCTAGCATCCAATGCCTTGAGCCAAGCCAAGCAAGCTCAGCTCAGGGCATTCTAGCGCATCTCCCCCGCAATCCATTCCTAATCTTGTCTCTGATACAGTGACGTCTTGTGCTGGGGGTGCATGGGACCATGCCTGGCTTCGCAATCTTTGACCAGGCAGAAAAGTCTGTCAATCTCATTCTTCATTCTTCATGCCACGACCCTTTTGTCTCTCCCTTTGATTTTTTGCCTCGCGACGCCCAGACTATCACCATCAGCGATTACTCCCTGACGAGTCGATTTTTCTTCATTTTAGCGAATGCCATAATATCACGGTTCGATTTATTTTGGTCACTCAAACGGTATCGCTACGAGCTGGGGTCGGCGCTGCACTCTGCCACCTTTCGCCCAGGGTTCAACCTCCATCATGACTCCGCCAACTGCGAATCTGAACCTTGACGTTGAGGCGATCTCGGGCATTTGCGGGTATGTCTCTGATTCTGTCATCCTTTAAAGACATCGCATACTAACTTTTCCAAAGTTCTATCTCCATTGCCTGCTGGGGTATGTCGCTATGACTGGTCTCAGCCTTGGAACAACACTAATCGCAAATAGTTGTCGTCTTCTCTCCTCAAATCATCCAAAACTTCCAGCGCAGCAGTGCCGATGCCCTCTCGATTCAATTCATCATTGTCTGGCTTCTCGGCGATGTTTTCAACATTCTGGGTGCCGTCCTTCAGGGCGTTCTACCGACCATGGTACGCTTCACGCGCAGCATTAGTCACCCCGTTTAAGGATCGAAAACTAAATCAATTACTTTTATAGATCATCCTCGCTATCTACTACACGATCGCTGATATCGTCCTTCTGGGCCAGTGCTTCTACTATCGTGGTTTTACATGGCGCGATGCCCCGACCCCTGCTACGAAGCCCAACACCCCGGCCCCTGGTGAACCCAACGAGCGCACTGGTCTGATCGCTCACGATCGTCATGAGGAGCGCCGCGGCTCAGACTGGTCTGGCCTGTCACCAGCTGTTCCTCACATCGCCGAAGATGCCACTCCTCAGACCCCTACTATCCTTCAGACTGTGGTTTGGAACACCATCATCGTCTTGATGGTCATTGCAGCTGGTGTTGTTGGCTGGTTCCTGGGTCAGAAAGCTTCTACTGGCGACAAGCATGGCGACAACAATGCTGGAGGCGAGGATAGCCTTCACTTCAGTCTTTCGGGTCAGATCTTTGGATATCTCTGCACCGTCGCATACATCGCTTCTCGTCTCCCCCAGCTCATCCTGAACTGGAGGCGCAAGACAACCGACGGACTCAGCATGCTCTTCTTCCTTTTTGCATGTCTCGGAAACATTACTTATGTCTTGTCCATCTTCGCCTACGAACCTAAGTGCAAGCACGATGAATGCCGACCCGGCGAGGCTCGTCATATTTACGGCAAATACATCCTCGTCAACCTGAGCTGGCTCGCTGGCAGTCTCGTTACTCTTTTCCTCGATTTGGGTGTGTTTGCCCAGTACTTCATGTACAGCAAGCCGGAGAGCACTGCTACGCCTACCCGTCGGCGAATCAACGACAACGTCACTGAGGAAGACGAGTACGATGATGACGAGAGTCTCAACGAGGACAGCTGGGATCAGCGTCCTCTGCTCCAGAGGGGCGACTCTGTCTATCACCCATGATCTAAATTTTATCTTTTGAAAGGCTCGCGCCTGAGATGACAGTTTTTTGTTTTGCTTTTTATATTCATTTGTTCTCCTATCTCCCCTGACTTGTTGGGGTACATATAGGATCGAACAATGGCAGGCGTTTACTGTTGGATGACGGAAAAAAGAGGAAAAGGAAAAGGTATCAAAAATAACAATTAGCATCAGGATTGGGTTGCTATCATGATGGAGTTGGGAAACATGATGTTTATTCGGATCTTAGATCAGCTCACCTCTCAGGGGTTAAGTTTATTCATCAAATGAATGTTTAAAGCTTTTCTACATTTATAAAGCCGCCGATGTCTCAATATAATCGAAGTCCTTCTCTTGATTGAGATCGATGGTGAAGGGGGATGTCGGCGAGTATCAATCAAAAGTCGAAAACATTATTATCATCAACCTCAGAGACTACTCCACTCAGTGGCATATTAGGCTCCGAGCATTAGGAGGTCCTCGAGTAACACGGAGTCTATAATTTTGTTACTCATAAATTCTACGGATCACATTTATCAGCAGCAAGCTGCTACTCCTCTGAAATGTTTTGTTAGGCGACCAATATTGTTGGAGTCACAGGCTACCCTGTAGACTCAGATAAAAATGCTTTCAGGATCATCAATGCCTTACACAAGCCATGATTTTCCTTAAATTTTAGCTCGGTCAAGGAATCAACGTCTATTTTCG